CCTTAGAGCACTCAGTGGATCGCTTTTCAGTAGAGAAAGAAGGAGGGAATGCAGGTCTCTGCATTTGTGCTGGGCAGGGGAAGGCTGTGGACAAGAGGTATGATCAGGCAAGTTTTACTGACATCTCATTGTGAAAGGTGAACAATCTAGCCAACCCCAACTGCATTCCCGGGCTCATGTTCAGGGACCAAAGGGTCCCTTTGAAGCGCTGAGGGATTTTAACAGTTTCCCTTTAAAGAAATACTATCATTCATTCTGTTGGGCTGGGGAACAATGCCTCTTGTGTGTTCAAACTACTAGGAGCATTAATACACTGTTTCTTTAGAGAGATTCACTTTCCAAAGCTGAACTTTCAGAACTCAGAGCACCTTATCACACTCTGGCAAGCTTTTTTTTTTCTCTCTCCCCTGAAAATGGAAAAAGAAAAGGTGGGGGCGGGGTAGGAAGCAGTTAGGACTTGCACTGGTTAAACCTGATCTCTCCCGGGATTTGTTTCTCTTCTGGCTTCAGATTAGATGTTCAAATCAAGCAGTGTGTGAGAACTGTGAGTGAATGTCCATGGGATTCTTAGCCAGGCTAATCCTGGAGCACCCGCACATTCCAAGGGGGCCAATCTGCCCAAGTTCATTGCTTACTTGAAATGTCTCTTGGGGGAAGAGCCTGGCAAATGACTTTTTTTTCCAGTGGGCGGTCATCCGAGCATTATTAGCGGGATGGCCAGCCCCAGTCACAGCAAAATGAAAGCAACAGGAGCTGTGGAAGGGGACTGCCCTGCTGCCAGCCAGAGTCGGTGCAGGTAAATTTTTTCAGCTAAACTTTCTCTTGTTTGCCTTCTCCAGGTTGGATGTGGGGACTTAGAGAAAGACCAAAGGAACACACAGAGGGGGTGGAGAAGAAACAGAGGGAAATGAGCATATATTTTGGTATTTTGTTCTGACAGAGACTGGGGTAGCCTCTTGAAACTGGAGACTGATGGCGAACAGCACCGAGAAGTGTCCCTTGTACTTTGTCTCCAGAAGTTCATCTTCCTTTCTTTTGGATTACCTGTCTGGGTTACCAAACTGGAGATGCTGTTTGTATTGCAACTGTTTCCTCCTGGGGAAGGGTTGAGTCTACAGTTAGTAGGGAGGTAAAGGAAGACAGAGCAAAACTGTTGGTGGTTTAATGTCGGTAGCAGAGACCAGTTGAAAAAGAGTGAAACCTGTTTAAATGAATTGACTTAATGTTTCTTTGGTATAAGACACTATTTACAAGTTTGTTTTGCCTTCTTTCATCTTAATAATTTATTGATAACATGTTTAAATTTCAAAAGTAGCTCTTGCTTTTATTCCTTAGGGTAACTATTATACTTCGTTGAAAATGCAGATGCCCTTGTTTCTGGCTTGGAAAAAAAGATGTCCTTTAATTATTAGTCCTTGAAAACATTTCCCTATTACACATCACACATGACTGGTAGTGCAGAAAGACAAGAAAGAAACAGCCGCTGACACAGTCAGTTTGGTTACCTGACCAGTCTACCTCCAGAAAGAAAAATGGACAGAAGTGATTTTCTGAGGACTGATAGGAGGATAGAAGACTTCTCAGGCATAATTAAAAGTCAAAACTGTAGGGCAAACTCTCCACTGAAGTTTTGCAATAGAAGAGAACTTAAAAAGTCAGAAGGAAATGCATGTCAGATGTATTGCATGCTTTCTAACAATGAGAGTAATCATTCTGCACTAACTTCATTCCATGTTGGAGCAAAGTCTAAAGCTTCATGCAGAGTAGTTCAAAGCCCTTGAACAAAAGAAAAGGGAAATTCATCTAGGCAACAATTTAAGCTATGATTATACATCAAAATATGCCCTTTCCAGAACAAAATTTAAATCGAGTATCTTTCCACACTAACAACCTGAATAAAAGCTCAATGAAGCCAACCCAACAATATAGCAGAGTCAATTATGCATGTTTTAGGGAAGTCCTAAGTCATCTGTTATGCACACATTTATTCCTATGATAAACTATACTAGTAAACAAAAAGAGTCTAAGTTCATTTTGAGTGACAGAAAGATCTTTTTATCTCACTTCTCTTTTCCTCCCAATTGTGCTTTGGCAAAGGAACTGATTAGTCTGCTAATACTAAGAAACAGAAGTGGTTTCACCCCCATTTACCCCCAAGGAGATTGATTTTGTTCCTGGAGACTGTGATTGAGGTGCCAGACTGTACACAAGTCAAAAAACTTTCCACTGAAAGATTAACAAACAAATTGATAGTTCATATGTAACAACTTATCTGCACACCATCTTACTGAAGCTTGCAGGACCTCCCAAATTGAAACTAATAACAACAGTGCCCTTGAAGAGTCTGATTCATTTGGCACAGTCCTCTGTTTTCTCAAGTATAAAGTACGGTTGAGATACCATTCTTGGCTGTGGTGGAAATAATAATATTTCCCCCTTCTTTAACTTCTGTCTTATGTATTAGGCTCTTCCTAAAATGGCATCCCATCCATTACCCCAAGGGAAGAGGAAGAACAGGTGACAGAGAGTTCACCCCACACCCATATGTGTGAGGGCTGGACTGGGGAGGAGGAAGGAAAAGAAACAAGCTTGAACCAGTTCTCCGCATGCCACTAGGTGTCCAGTGAGGTCCAGACACAGCAATAGTCCCAAGCATCTCAGATGGCACTGCACCCATAAAGGACATTCAGAACCAGTACTGTCTCCTCTGGCAATGCAGCGTATCCAAGAGCTGGGCAGAAAGATTCTGGGGCAAACCTGTTCACGGTCAAGCTGTGGCTTTGGAACTCACTTGTGGTATCTCTCTGGCCCCATTTTTTTCATTGGTAAAATAAATGTAGCATTGAAGATGGTCCCTCTCCATCAGTGCTCTTCCTGTGGAACTAAGTACGTAATGGACCCTTAGCAAATATTAGTTACTGTGCATCCTTGCTGAGCTCCTACTATGTGCTAGGTGTAAAATGAACTTCTTAGTTTGATTATCACAAAACCCACCTTAGTAACTTAGGATCTATACGCTATACATGAGGTAAGTAACTTTTCTTCATATCTTGATAGTAGTCAGTTCAGTGCCCTATGATCCAAACATAGGGGTGGCCATTTTTACCAGTATCTTCTAGAACCCACATATGACCTTCCATATGAATTTATAGTATGAGGATCAGCCAGAAGTTTGGCATGATGGTGCATGCCTTTCTCTAAGTACTTGGGAGGCTCAGGATAGTGATTGCTGCAAATTTAAGGCCAGCTAGATAGCTAGATGTAAGCATGATTACCAGGCTAACCAGGAATACAGAGTGAGAACCTGTCTCAATAAACAAACACAATCCAAGGTCAGTCTCTTCTTGAAGTCAAGCATGGTACTCCCCAAATAATAACAACCCAATATGTCAAGCATTATTATTGTGCCCAATATACAGATGTGAAAAATTGAAGATAAAAAGAATTCTTAACTGTCTTCATCTAGGAGGGTCCTACTCCTGCTCTTTTCTCTGCTGTAGACTTTACATCCCACACATGTTGCTTTTCCAACTTCCTCTCCTAGAACATGGGCCAGCATTCATTGAAGCAGGCAGATGATGCCCCAAAAGGTTCTTTTGAAGGCTTGCCAGGACAGGCTACAAAAGTACATTCTTTCTCCACTGTTCCCCAAGGTGTAGGGAAAGTGGGTTTCAAATGTCCAGTGAGGAACGTGAGATAACATCAACAGAAGTATTCAGGGTTTCAGCTTGATGGGCTATGAATAGTTTCATTTACAGGCTTTTTACAAAGATAAAGATGGGTTAGCTTTGCTGCTGAGCTCATTTCTGTTGCAAAGATGGAGCCAGTAGATTTTTCTACTGGTTTAAGGAGGAAACTCTTGGATAGGAGATTTAGGGGTTGTTTGTTTTTTGTTTTAATGCTCTGCTGCAAACAAAATTTCAAGTACCTTCTGTGTGCATGAGGGCTCAGAGGTTCACTTGAACCTGGAGACTTTTGAGGCAGTGTGGAATGCTCTTTTAAATGAAGACAATATAGGGAAAACAGAAAATATGTGACCCCATTATGACCAATACTGAAGCAGAATACAGTGCCTTCATGGCCCTCAACAGTCTTCCATATGGGTTTGTGTAGAATATACACGATTGAAAGTATTAAAGAACTACTGCTCTGGATGCCGCATGCATACACAGACCTCCATGTGCAGGGCTTCATTCATATTTATGGTTGGATAATGTGTTCTACAGCCCATAGCTTGTATGTGCAGGATAGATGCTGCTTGTGAGAAAAAAGTACATCAGTTTGACAGAATGTCCTTGACCCATCTAGGAACCCTATCTCAATGCCAGGGGTCCTGAGTGGATGGTTTCAGCAACACCTTTTCTAAGAAGCAATAGTTTTGTGAATGTATATAGGATGTAAAGTGAAATTCCCTTCGCAAATATTACCTGGGAGCCTTGAGGCTATGTTTACATTTCTTCTCTTTGTCTTCCCACTTCCATTTCTCCCTCACTGTTCTTCTGTATCACAAACTTGGATTTAAGGAACCTCAGTGATGTAGTAGGGATTTTGAGTTCTGTACTCCCTCTGCCTTTTTTCCTTTCCCTGTGTCAAGAAAATCTAATGGGAGTCTCAACCATGAAAACCTAATACTAAACTAGATGGTTTTCCTCTGACTTTTGAATCTTTCTTTTCGTGTTATATTATAAATGTCATGTTCTTTTCCTTCAATTCCATTTTCTCTATGAATAGCCTTATATTTCTGTCCTTTAGGAATCATAATGAACAAGTCTACGGTCCCATTAATAACACTGTTTCTAGCCTGGCTATTTCTTTTACTTCTCAATATTATAATAATAACGCAAGCAGCAGGTACTGAGAATGGCTGGTTGGATGATATGCAGTGTGGAATTCATTTATGATATATATGATATATTGTGTGATTACATGTTGTTGCTACCTAGCCAAAAAAAGATTTAAATTTTATGCTCACCTCTCTTTTTTCTCTCTCTCTTTTTCAGGCTCAGAAATCCTGGATTGAAAGGGCATTTTATAAAAGAGAATGTGTTCACATCATACCCAGCACCAAAGACCCCCATAGGTAATTCTGGTGTTTTTATTACATTATGAATACGAAGTGGTAATTATAGGGATAGAGTACAATAGTAATTACTACCACTGCAAGGGAACCACTGTCAAATTAAATATATATTTGAAACAAATATATACTGAACTGCTTAATATGCATGACCAAAGTTATCTTCAGATAAGTGTCTGTACACAGAGTAACAGATCCACTATTGGAGAATTGTTGATCCCTGTATATAACATCCTATATTTTTGTTGCAAGTACTTACTTTTCCACCTTAACATTTTCTCAAACTGTTTCATTGGTACCACCATATCCTGCTATAATGAAAAAGAAAGTCTTGAATGAAAGACACCTAGGAAATTAATTAGTGTTTAGACCTTCAGATTCCTCTGCACATTTTTGGCACTGTAGTTACCTTCCTGAAAATCAGCAGTATATAAAGCAGGAAGCTAAAATAGAACATCGGCATCTGGAAATGCCTTTTGAATGGGCAATTTTTAAAGGCAGCTTAAATTACAGATTTTACAGCCATAGACTAGACACATAACCTTGGATAAATTGCATAAGCTTCAGTGCTGCAATATTTTATTATCAGTGTATCCTCAATTGTTAGTGTTTAAGAGAATGCTATGTAACTATCATTACTAATAGTTGTAATTGTGGTCATCATAACATATGAAGGATATTTTGATGACTGGGGAACAAATTTTAAGTTTCTAATTTTTTCAACTCTTGTTCAAAGAAAATCCTGTAGATTTTTTTTACTCTCAGAATTGAGTAATTTGACAGCAAATATCAGTTAGAAAACCAAGTTAGGTTGTGACTCACAAATAAGTGAGATTCCTCATTTAAACATTCATGTGAAAAGTCGTCTCTCTGAGCTCTTCAGTATCCTTCATGCAAGATTTTATAGATGGGAGCAGTTAACAGTGGAGAAAATCTAGAGAATGTTTGTTCCCAATTGTCCTGTCCCAGATGATATGCCAAGTGCTTCGAGGTGTGGCTGGAGGAGGACAGGAAGTATGTTGATAAAGACAAACTAGGTGGCGGGCAAGAGCAGTAGATGGGGGGTTGTGGGAAGCCTCCCTCCACCGTCTTTTCTGATAAGGCTGCATTCTGGGATTTTACCTATCACTAAACTGGAATGGGTCAGCACGGCCCATGGGTTTCTGTAACCAGCTTCTTGAATGTGTGTTCTAAAAATGGCTGATTCAAGAGGTTCACTTTAACCTCTCATGTTATAGGTGTTGCTGTGGGCGCCTTATAGGCCAGCATGTCGGACTCACTCCCAGTATCTCTGTGCTTCAGAATGAGAAAAACGAGAGTCGTCTCTCCCGAAATGACACCCAGTCTGAGAAGTGGTCCATCAGCAAACATACTCAGCTCAGCCCAACAGATGCTTTTGGGACCATTGAGTTCCAAGGAGGCGGCCATTCCAACAAAGCCATGGTAATAAAAAGACTAAAAAGGCCACTCACTCGGCCCTAGCCACAATTTCTCATCCTGTAAAGGAACAGCTAAGAGCCTAGGCTGTAGGTTTCAGGCTATACTGGCCTCTGTCACTTCCCAGTAAAGTGTCTATAACGTAGGGGAAAGAAACTTTCCCCAGCAGTGATTTTTTAAAATGCTGGTATAAGATCACATGATGAGCTAAGTTTTACCTTGGTTAATATGTATCATCGTATATGATCATGCAGTTCAATGATCATTTCTTTTTTCTTTGAGACAGGTTTTTTCTGTATTGTTTTGGAGCCTGGAGCCTATCCTGGAACTCACTAGGTAGACCAGGTTGGTCTCAGACTCATGGAGATCTGCCTGCCTCTGCCTCCCGAGTGCTGGGATTAAAGGCGCGTGCCACCAACGCCGGCTCAATGTCATTTCTATTTGTCTATACACAGCACTGGCCAGATCCATCACCTCCCCCAACCAGCACCTTTATCGTCTTCTTTCAACCACTCTCACATTCAGATCCTCTGCTCCCTGCCCTTTTGTATGAGAGCAAAGGTCACACTTGTCTTTCTGAGTCTGGCTTGTTTTCTGCAGTTATTTATAGTTTGTAGTGTTACTTTCTATGTCTTGTCTACTTAGCCTTTTTCTAATTCACTTTCCCCAGTTTGGGAGAGAGGAAAAAATGTTTCCTTTAGGTTTCTTTTTGGTTTTATTAGTAGCATTTCCCAGGCTGTTTCCTTCCTGAAAGGTTAGACCTTGCAACTTACTGGCTGACTTCTACATAGGAATCCACTGGCATCTTATTCATAGCCTGGTGCTGTCACTTACTGGTTGGGTGATTGTTTCCGTGTAAGCCTGGTGCCTTAGTTTCCTTGCATATAAAATGGGGTAGTAACTTCTACTTTGTAGGACTATCTCAGGGATTAGCAGTGCCTCTGTGTATGAAGGGCTTTGAATAATACCTGGTGCTAAAGCTACAGAAGGTTTTACTCTGAGGGGAACTTCGTAATCCGTCAAAATAGAAGTGTGCTCCTGGAGTCGCAGAACTAGACATATCCTCAGTCTGATTGGAAACTCTTTGTTAAGCCATTTAATTTGCATGAGCCTCGAGCGTTCTTCCTAGAAAGCTGGTAAAGTTGCCTTCTGTGAGATGCATAAGGACAATAGACACCTGACCCATAGCTAGTGTTCAATAGATGGATGAAAAATGTTAGAGATGGGTCAGGGAAATAGCTTCCTGTACTTCCTGGGAGCCCAAAGATCCAGTAGACTATTTCCACATGGGCGTCAGCTTTCATGTGTCCGTAGTTTCAACACTGTTCTGTGAAGAACAGCATTAGTGATAGTCACCATCATGAAAGCTAGTGATAGTCACCATCATGAAAGCTAGCTAGAGGTTTGGGAACTGATGTCCATGCCAGGGCAGTCACTCATACCAGCGAATCAAAATGAGTTAACGGGACCTGGGGTGCATCCCATCTTAGTCCTTGTCCAATTTCCATCGCTAAACTGCTGTGGATGTAACATTTGAATGAGCACAGCAAGAGCCCTTTTGTTGTATAACTTTCCTCTACAGGAAATTCTTTTCATCTCTTGAAAATTTCTAGTGAACTTGAGAGACACCCCCCATCAGAAGCCTGGAGAGCAAAACTCAAAATGAGTTTATTAGCATGTGCCCTTCAAAATGTTCAGCAAAATATTTTGGCAATTTCTTTCATAACCTATAATGAATAATAGTCATGATCATAAATGAGCAACCAACTATTCTGCAAGACCCTCAGATTTCATTTCCCCAACACATATTCACGGATTTTGTTGAGAGCTGTGATCAAACCCATGCATAGTCTGCAAGTATATACCACTGAGCTACATCCCAGTTCTCAGATACTAAGAATTTCAAAACAAAACCTCAGGGAAGTGCGCTCTAAGTACTTCATTTCTGAGCACTGTTTTCCACATACTGTGATGTTGACCCTGAGGTCAGAGTGGCCCTAGGTGGTCTAAGGGCAGTCACTCTAAGGACAACCCTTTCTTTCTGTCCAAGCCTAATTAGCCTAATGAAGACCAGCTTTGCTTTTCATTACTACTGGGTATTTAGTGAGTGGAAATCCCCAGCATTCATTCTGACACAAACAAGCATCTTGTGCACTCTGAAAGCTCGCCCCAGAGTTATTCTGCTTCTCCTGTCTAAACAAAGAAGTGGTGCTGTCAGGCCCCATTTTATGAGGCAGGGCAATGGATGCTTGCCAACCTGAGTCTCCCTTGCTTCCAACCTCTTGAGCAAACTAGCATGCAGTTTGGACAGGCAGACTTGGCGCACACTTCCTGTGAAGAAAAAAAAAGGGGCAGTCTTCATGAGAGCACTGCATGGTTAATTATTCTCCAAACTGCAGTTAGACAGGCCAGTAAATTTAATGTGCCTTTGGGCCATCACTTCTGAAAGGTGTCCTTGAAGTGATTTTTAGCAAAGTCATCGAAACACTCTAGCGGTAAGATTGACTTATTTTTTTAACTAAGGGAAGATATAACATTCTTTTTTCCTTCAAGGCAGCCCAGGATACAGCTGTAGCATTTTCCAAATGCTGAGATGGACTGAACACAGTGAGGCAGGCAGCAGGGGGAGCAGACTCATTATTAAAATGCCTCCAGTTAGGTGAGAGCCACTAGCTAGGTGTCCTTCCTACCACATGTGGGATGGCAGTGTATCACAGGCCCTTAAGCACCAAAGGCACTTGGGGGTCATAATCAGTGGTTCTTGACTTAGGGGCACAAAATAACAGGGAAGGTTATTACAAATGGTCATATCTAAAATTCACATCTGGAGTCTCATTCATTAGCCTTGGGAAGAACATGGGCACCCAAAGATCTTTGGATATATATACACAGCAGTTATTCTGCTGTGCAACCAGCCTTGGAAATTTTAATCTCCAATCCCTCTTCCTACAGTATAGATGAGGTAGTTGAAACCCCAAGAAAGTAAATTATTTTCCCAGAGAAAGTTCTTGAACCCAGCTTCCTAATGACCTTGTTTCCGTTTTCTTTTTTTCTTTGTCATGTGTGCCTTGGACAGATGACAGTCACTGTTGTATTTGGAGGCTATTTGGAGGTGATTGAAGGGAAGTTAATTACTATTGGACTTCTACCTTTTTAATAGAGGTTTTATACTGTTTTGTGGCAGAATTTTTAAATCACTAATATTTAATGAGGTTAATTAAACTTGAAAGCTTTGAGCAGGGGGATGTCTTTGTAAAATTACATCTTAGATCATTAGAATCAGTTGCCAAGTTCTTTCAAGTGCTTTGTGGTGTTGAGAACTCAATGTTCAAGCTTAACCAACACTGTGCAGAGAGAAACTATGACATAGGGAGGAGCCAATCCAAGCTGACAGTGAGGGAAAGAGCCTGCCATCCTGCCCATTCCCAAGATGCATCCTATAAGATGACACGCCCTAAACCATCCTGGATTCTCTGAGGACCTGGTTGCTTAAAAGGACATCTTAATTTTCAAACGGCCTTAGGACAACAGCAAAATGGCCCTGTCAGCAGACATTGTGTGGTTCTCAGAGACTCATCTATTGAGGGCCCCCACATGGTTTATAAAGTGAGCAGAATATAGACTCGCTCGTTTATAAAGCATCTCTTCTAATTAATGCAAAACTGGCTTGTGGGCCAGGTAAGACTAAACCTAATTAATGGCTTGCAGTTAAACCTCTCAAGCTGACTACAAAATTCTCTTCTGGCTCTCCTCTGCTACTTAATCTGCCTATTAGATCATGTGGCGTTCCTCGGTATGGTTTTCATATAATTTAGAAAATTGTCCCTAGCCCTTGTTTTCACACTGAAATCTCTATTGAGACCACGGGGGTGAAAGTCTTGCTCTCTGAGCTCTGGGGGAGCAGACCACACAGTAGGGAGGTTGCCCCTGTTAGCATGGTGTCTATAACCATGTACTCTTAGAGAGTTTCAAGGATTGAATTTGAAGTTTTAAAAATTGTCTCTCTTTGCATTCTGCAAATTTCATCTGGGAACCCTTGATTAATAAATGCCATGTAGGAAATGATTAAATGATTCCTCTTCACACATATGAATAGCCCATCACTACATTACAGCTAACACTAACAGGAAGCTTCCTCCAGCCCTTTGGGGCTCGGGGGAAATCTTGTGGTTGCTCCACTGATTTCCAGTTTGCACCTTACAGTCTGAGGTTGCTAAATTGGCAAATGGATCAGATGGTCTCTCTGAAATTAAGAATTAAGGTTGAGTCAGGGTGCAAAATAATCCCAGCACTAGGGAAGCAGACGCCAAAAGATCTCTTGTTAGTTTCAGGCCAGCCTAATCTACAAAGCAAGTTCCTCCAGGGCAGCCAGGATGGTTACACAGAGAAATCCTGTCTTGAGAAACAAAAACAAATAAACAACAACAACAAAAATGAGGTAGAATGTATGGTTGTTATTTCTCATCCAGATTATAGATATGTAAAGTAGGGGAAGCTGAATCTCCTCAGGAAACAATCATACTTCCTTGCTTCTAGAAAATGCTATTCTGAATAATTCTGACAGGAATCCCAGAAACTAGCCTCTGTGACCCCAGTATGTGCTTAGTGACATTATATGTTAGTTCTCACTGTTGAGCTTCCCATTATCAACATTAATCATACAAACAAACACCTGATACCCAACAATGGAAAACTTCAAAAATAATGACACTTCTTCTTCCAAAGTTTTGAGTGTCATCAAATTAGAAATTTGAATGCATTGAATGAATTCCAAATTCTTTTCTGGTGAGATTCTTCCGTCTACTGAATCACTGTAAGCATTAAACTCTAGATGCAAGGCAAAGGCTCCATGGACTTGGGAAGCTGCTATCGGCAGAATTATCTCTGATGTGACATATTGTGCTTGGCTGCAGCTTTAATTACAAGTATCCCCTTTATATGTGGCTACAAAAATTGGAAAATGAAATGATGCTTGTCACATTTCTCAATAGAGAGAAGAATGGGTC